TTGATTTGCTATCATCTTGTTTTGAAATTCTGTATCATTTTTCATGTTTTAAAATTTTTTATTCTCTTTGAAATTAAAAAGAATATTTACAGTATAAAATACAAGCAAAGACTAAGAAATGTCAGAACAGAGGAGAATAAAGAGACAAAATTGCTATATAAAGTGCAGTATATTGAAATAGATCCTGGAAAATAAAGGAATGTTAATGGAAAAATGACATCTTAATAAAATGGTAAATTTTAAATTGTTTTTAAAATGTTTATATAACAGCTTTATTGAATTAAAATTTATATAATGTAAAATTTACAAACTTAAAGTGTATGTTTCAGCAGATTTTAGCATACTGACAGAGCTATACAACTATGACCAAAATCAAATTTACATCATTTTTGTTATTCCAAAACAAAACACTCTACCCACTAGCTATCATCTCCCAATTCCTCCCCACTAATACTAGGCAACCACTGAGTTACTCTGTCTTCGTAGATTTTCCCACTCTGGAAAATTCTAAATTCAAAATTTAAATTGTTAATAGTAATGTATCAATTTGCATTTAGATTTGACAAGTATACATGGAAATTACATGTATACTTGTCAAACCATGAATATTAGCAGGAAGCAAAACTGGGTAAGGAGTATATAAGAATTTTTTAAGAATCCTTGCACTTTTTTTGTAAGTCTAATATTATTCCAAGATAAAGCAAATATTCAAAAAGAGTGTTAGTCTTTTTAGAACAAATAATTTGTATGTCTGATTGATTTCAGTGGCTTCCATAAAATATAGTATGCTAAAAAAATAGTATGCTGTGTCTTCCTTTATGGTTATGGTGATATGTATAGCCAATAATACTTTTTTCTAAAGATTTTTAAAAATTTTATGAAATTTTAATTCTCATGACATTCATGCAGTATTATTTTAATTTACCTGATTAATAAGTTAAAATAAAGAATAATTGGTGCACAATTACTACATTATACATTTACCACTCTAACAAACTATATCACCACTAGGTGCAAGAGTGGACATCTCCAAGAGGCATGGAAAGCAAGGTGTCTTCATTTTCTCATAGAACTGCTTCTCAGGGCAACATTGTCTTTCCTGAGTTTTACGTTCCATAGGCCCATTTCATGAACACTGGCAGTCCTAGCCTTTCCAGAACCAGTGTCAACTCACTGTGTGCCTTTAGACAAAGATGAGAGAAGTAGGAAGAGGGAAGGCTGGGTTCATTTCCTTCCACTAAATTCCAGTTAGTCAAAGGTAGAGACCTTCAGACCCTCAAAGACTGGACAAACATCTGTAGAGTTCCTCATTTAGGTCCTTGTTTCATTTCTTCTCAATGCTTTTGGCTACTCACTGAGACTCAAATGCATCTGCAGGGCTTTAACTCTTGCAAAACTTGTAGCAGTCGATTCTAGGTTTTGTAGTTGCTGCAGGCAAAATTAATAGCAGAGCCAACAGCTCATGAGGCTGTGAACAACTTGAAATACAGAAGGGG